GAAAAGATTAAATATCAGATGATCAACGTTCTGTCTCTTTTCGAAATATTGAAAGTTTACAATAAACAATATTCTGATCAAATATGAGTTTTTTACTATTTAATGTATTCAAAATTGTGGATTGCTTTATTTACAATAAGATATAAGAATGTTTAAATGTTTCGTCATTTCAGAGTATTTTAATCTGAGAAGTAAGATAACTCTAACCCTGGAATATTCTTACAGCCTATGTTTGATAGTTGATCAAACAAAACTAAAAATCTGTATTCGAATATATCTCTAGAAGTAAAACAGTAAAATTACACAGGTCTACAAAACTCAAAGTAGTTGTACCTTATAGCATATATATATCGGGATTCAGAAAAAAAACTCTGAGAGATATTTGATGCACAGGGATATTTATCACTGTGCATCAAATATCTCTCAGAGTTTTTTTTCTGAATCCCGATATATATATGCTATAAGGTACAACTACTTTGAGTTTTGTAGACCTGTGTTATCGGTAGGTACACTAAAAATATGAACTTTCAGAATCCAGATATACATGTTAAAAGATTTAACTTTCTAAATTAGAATGTGTAGGAAAGTAAGAGTGTCAAATCTAAGTTCTAATAGACGAACGAATCAAGCTAGGGTTATGGTTAGCGAGAACTATAAGCCGTTTTCTTTCCTCCAAATTAAAAAATCATAAATATAACCTGATTTTTAAACTTATCTTCAAATTTGCAGGTGTAGCAGGGAGAGAAAAGAAAGAGAGAGAGTCGAATCAAAGTTATAAGAAATGAAGAGTCATAGGTAGCGAAAACTAAGCTTGAAAAGCGAATATATAACCTGGTATATTCAACTTATCTTTAAAATTGGAATGTCTAGAAAAAAAGGAAAGTCAAATCAAAGTTTTAATAGACGATTTAATCAAGCTAGGGTTATAGTTAGCGGAACCTAAGTCTTCTTCCTGCTATTAAATTGAAAAATAATAAACATATAATCAAAATAGGAAAATGTGTAGAAAAGGTAAAAGTCAAATCAAAGTTCTAAGAGACGATATGATCAAGCTAGGTTTATAGTCAGTGAAACCTAAGCTATTTTCCTGCCGACAAATTAAAAAGCAAAAATATAGCCTGATTATTCAACTCGTCTTCAAAATGAGAATGTGCAGGAAGGAAGAAAGTCAAATCAGAGTTGTTAGAGACGATATGATCAAGCTAGGGTTATAATTAGCGAAAGCTAAATCGGTTTCCTGCCTCCAAGTTAAAAAGCATAAATATAACCTGGTTTTCAATTTATTTTCAAAATGAGAATGTGTAGGAAAGGAAAAAAGTCAATTCAACGTTCCTAGAAAGGATATGATCAAGCTAGGGTCAAAGGCAATTAAAACTAAGCCGAAATTCGTGTCACCAAATTAAAAAGCAAAAATATAACCTGAATTTTCAACTTTATTTTCAAAATTATTATATTTGGGAAAGGAAAAAGTCAAATAAACGTTCCTAGAAAGAATATGATCATGCTAGGGTTATTGTTAGTGAAACCTAAGTCGCTTTCCTGCTATCAAATTAAAAAGAATAAATATAAACTGATATTTCAACTCATCTTTAAAATTAGAATGTGTAGGAAAGGAAGAAAGTCAAATCAACGTTCCTAGAAAAGATATGATCAAGCTAGGATTATAATTAGTTAAAACTAATTAAGGAATATGATCAAGCTAGGCTTATAGTTAGTGAAGCCTAAGCCGAAAATCATGCCACCAAATTTAAAAGCAAAAATATAGCCTGATTTTTAACTTATCATCAAAATTAGAAAGTGTAGGAAAGGAAAAAGACAATAGGACGACGATAGGACCACAAGCTAGAGGATATAGTTAGCTAAAACTAAGCCGAAATTCCTGCAACCAAATTGAAAGGATATATATAAAATGAAAATATAGAATGTGTAGGAAAGGAAATAAGTAAAATCAAAGTACTAAGAGAAGATATGATCAAGCTAGAGTTATAGTTAGCGATGGATAAGTCAGGTATTGAGGTTGAGCGGTGGTTAACGTGCCTTTCCCGCTCTGTTGGCCATGGTATCTCCCCCATCAGGCCACCTCGGTAAATATAAGTACCCCGAGGTGTGAAGGAAGTCATCCAGTCCATCTGGAGCAGCCATGGACCTCAAGGTGGGTACTTGTCCTTTCTACAAGAATTTTCGCTTTTTTTTCTTGTAAATTTTCTCTTGAAGCTCTTAGGATGTACTTAACATTTCTCTCAACGCTTTTAACTTCTCTTTCTTTTTTTACAGTTGCTCGTAAATCTCCCTTCCTAAAAATATTTATTGAGTTATTTTCCTGAATATGAGAATTAAATATCTTCGAGACATTTTTTGTGTGTTCACCTATATAAAAAGACATTAAATAATAATAAAACCTTATTTTTCAAATCATCTTCAAAATTAGAATGTGTAGGAAGGAAAGAAATTCAACTCAACGTTCCTATAAAGGATAAGATCAAGCTATGGGTATAATGATCTAAAACTAAGTCGTATTTTGCCACCAAATTAAAAAGCATATACATTAAATTCAAATTAGTAAGACTCCCTTTTTTTTAAATTTCTGTGTAGAAAGTCCCTAAAATTTGAAAATATTGAGAGCTTTTTAGAAATTTTTAGAAAATTGAAGTTTTCCAGGCTATGGTAAAAAAAAGAAAGATTAATTTAAAAGCTCTGGGAAAAACGTACTTCCTATTATTCTTTTTTTAAACATACTAGTTAGACTATTATACAGCTAAGTAGATGGCTATTTACTTATTCCAAGTACATATAATACTGTCCATGATCATCATATTTTTTATTGATAGTTGTTTTTACTCCAAGTACATTCATCAACGAAACTTAAGGAAGTAGTACCTTTTAGCATGTATATCGAGATTCAGACCATAACTCTCAAAGATATCTGATATACAATAACCTTTATTGAAGACATATGATATAACCAAGTGTGAACAAAATTGCTTCTGTCTCCTTCATACAAACAGACAACCGGCGACATTAAAGACTTTCCAGTTTCTTAAGATTTGTCCATAAATGTATGATTGGGGAATTATAGAGATGCCTTTTTTCAGCGCTGCCTATTTCCTTTATATATAAAATATCTTCCTACTGTCTTTACTGCGATGTAAAATATATATAGAGAGGGGTTGGCTCATCAGTGGAGAACCCTCACAGCGATTTATGCATTTAAATCCACCAAAGTTCTTTGATATTACATGAATGTATCTAATATGATATTTAACTATTCTGGTTTTATACCTGGTACTAGAAAGGAATTCTCTTAGCTATGGTATTTGATGATTTCATTGGGCATAAGCTAGAGGGACAGTATAAATGTTAAATTTGCACAACTTGCATTGCTATTCCGTAAACAACTCCAAAAATGGTCATCAATAAATTTTCAATCATCCAACTAATATTTAAACATAGCCATTAGAAAATACAAACACAGAAATATTCCATGTTGAAAAACATTTTCCATTCTACTATATTCTCTAATGAACGTTAACAGAATAAAACATATTCAAATTTTATCCTATATTTTAACGCTAAAATATATAAGTTTAAAATAATGGTAAATTTCAAAACTAAATACAATAATCAAAACTATCTGAATCTAGCAGTAAATATTTGATTTTTAAAACTAAATTAATGACGAAAAAATCCTCTTCTGATGTAAAACAGAAAAGAATATTTTAAGTAAATTTGAAAAAAAAATGATTTTTTCAATATCTATTGCTCTGAAATATGAAAAATTTAAAAGATAGAAAAATAATATTCCTGATTTCTCTCTCAAAGACTTTATGAATATAAAGTTAAACTATTTAATATTTTATATGGGGGGGGGGGTCGGTGGAAGGCTGGTTAAACCGTTTGGGTTTCGACCACTACGACCAAGCACGACTGGCACATTTGTCGAACTGCTTTCACATGTGTAGACATGTGGTGCGCTTACAGTACAAAGCAGTCGCTAACTACCCACCATGATTATCATGGCCTGTACCACGTGTACTAGGGATAAGCAAAAATATATATATTTTATATACCTACATGATTAATTATTACATTCCTATATATAACATCAGTAAATTTGACTACTTTTAAAAAATTCACATTAGGTTATTAAAAGTAAATAGGAATATTTTTTTAGGAAAAATGTCTTCCCGAAACTACTGCCAGATTTCTACCACTTCAAAAAAACTGTATTAAGTGGCCAAACTGTCTAATCAGATTATCTCAACGCTCCATTTATTCCTGCTACAATTTTTCTCCCTCTTATATAAATCCCAATAGAGGAGTTTATGGAGGTTTACATCACAGCAATTTTCTCGTTCGGATCAATAAATTGATATCGATTTTATAATAAGATTATGAAATTTATATTAGTGATATATTTATATAACCAACACGCGCGCGTCCTTTATGTAAATATGTAAATATACTAACTAAGGTAAAGTTGCATAAGTTGTATATGTAAAATATAAAGTCGACAAAGTCGAAGTAGGCTTTTCATATAGTATGATATGATTTTATTACATCTATTTGCTACAGTTTCTCCTTAGGTTTTATCGTAAGAAAATATAATAATGAAAATTATGATAAAGATATATATTTATTATGAAGAATACGGAATATTCAATATATAATAATACTTATCTTTAAACATATTTATTTCTTTAATAACTACTCATAATATAACTTATCAGTACATTTTTTCTTCAACTTTTTAAAATTCTTTCTAACCTCTTCTCTCTCTGAACGATATTCTTTATTCGATTTCAGAATTATATATGGTTAATACAATATAATATAATGCGGCTTGTGATTATAAAACGACATTTGAAAACCATCCCGCATGTGTTCCTTTTCAACGATAAATCAAAATTTATTTCAAGGAGAAATAATGATTATTTCTAACCTTTTGGATGAGGTATGAAAGGGTGAATTGTGAAGAGTAATGATAAACGGAAAAATAAAAGTGTCTAGGGATGGGAATCGAACCCACAGTGTTCCGCTTACTGGGCAGATGCCATGTCCACTAGGCTACCATGGATATATGTATTTTGTAATCAAATTATACAGTTACGAGCGTCATGCGTTCTTAATTCTTCATTTTTCATCTCTGTCACCTTTTGCTTTTTTTTTTTGGAATGGCGCTCACCTATTGGTTGGCTCGATCACGCCACCTTTCCATACCCCCCCCCCCCCCCCCCCCCCCCATCATGCCCCCCCAACTCGCTTCTTCATTTTTGTTACTATTGTGTTAGAGCGGGTCGCTCCTTAAATAAATGCATATATTAGTTAATAACTAAATGGAATCCTCTCTTTCTTTTTCCCAGTAAGAGACGCCTACGGAAGCCAACAGTACATAGACAGATAAAGCACATAGGCTATAGTTATTAACTAATATATGCATTTATTTAAGGCGCCAATTTATAATTGTAACAAATAGTATTTGAATCAAAACATTCAATCGGGTAAAACACGAGCGTTGCCCGGGTCATTCGGCTAGTTGATATATATGGTTAAGCTAATTTTCTTTGTCTTTTTCTGATATTCTTCAGCAAGTCTAAATTCCCTCTTATAATCGCCTCAATACTTCTTCTTTATTTCTGGTTCTTTCAGTTCATATTATTCATTTCTATTGTTTTTAATGGGTATAGATGTAAACGATTCATTCAGACGATATATAACTGGTAAAGTTATTATATATATTTGTTGGGTAAAGTTTTCAACTAGCAATAATCGCGCCTCGGAAGTTCCTCACTGGCTACGATATCGCCTCTGCGCAAAGCTATATATATTTGTTGATTAATTAATCTTTTCAATTGTGTAAGGTTGTCTTATTTCAAATGTATCCTATTACTAATTGGTCTGTTATGTTCCAGATAATGCTAGCGTTGGGTGTTCTCCTAGTGGCACTCGCTGCATCCAGAGTGAATGCAAAAGCAATTCAGATATCAGTTAAATCTGCTGATGATGAGAAGAAACTCCTAGCACAGGCATCCTATCACCATGATTCCTATGGAGGAGATGATCATCATGGCTATGGAGGCGACCATCATGGTTATGGTGGTGGCATGGGAGGCTACGGAGGTGGTCATGGCAGCTATGGAGGTGGCATGAGTGACCATCACCACAAGGGGTACCACAGCGAAGACCACAAGCACGACCACAAACATGGCCATAAACATGGTCATGATCATAAGCATGGTCACGATCACGGACACAAGCATGATCATGGTCACAAGCACCACGAAGACCACCATCATGGACATCATCACGGCCATAAACACGGTCATGATCATCATCACGATAACAAGCACACTCATCATCATGAGCATCACCATACTCATCACCATCATCACAAACATCATCATGGACATGACCACAAGCACGGACATAAGCACGGACATGACCATAAGGAGGATCATAAGCACGACCACAAGCACGGACACAAACATGGACATGGCCACGATCACAAACATGGACATGACCATGATCACAAACACGGACATGGTCACGGCCATAGTGGAGGAAGCTACGGTGGTCATCACTACTAGATTCATATCTTCTGTGTGTCTCTGTAATAAAGTTTGGGAATGTGAAATAAAATGGGAATTTGTGACAGACTTTGTCTATTTCCTTAATTATACAGATCAAACACAAAGTATAGCTTCTCGTGCTTAACTCAGATATAGATAAAAATATGTATATTGACTATTATAACTCTTTTTTTTATATAAATATACAAATAAAAATCATAATTAAAATACAAACATTAGACCTCCAGTGAAAAGTTTGTTTTTAAAATATTTTATTTACAATTCTTTCAAGCTTTCGGGCAAGAAATCCCTTCTACCGAATAAAATAGTTTACATTAAATCGCAAATAAAATAATATACAGTAGACTTTCCTATAACGCGAGTTTTTACAACGCGATTTCGTACAACGCGGTGAAAAAATTGCGACAAATTTATTTATACAACGCGAATTTTCGTATAACGCGTTATAAAATAAAATGCGGAAATTTCAATATGGACAACTATACATTACATTTAATTTTTATGCACACGCTAAACTGAAGAATCAACGAATATATATATAAACGCCACTCTTCTGTATCATGGTCATGGCCAAGCACTTCCATTTTCTACAATACATTTTTACATGATATTTGTCACTAACAATTTACCCTAACAACATTCGCGTTATAAAAGATTTATTTCATACAACACGGAACACATTAATCGCGTTATAGGCGAGTTTACTGTAAAATAATTTCTCCTGTAGAAGGGCTTTCTTGCCCAAAAGCTTAAGAGATTTGTGAATAAAATAATATTTAAAAAAGAAACTTTTCCCTGGAGACATAATGTTCTTTTTTAATATTGATTCAAGGGATTGTTTTATCGAAATAAAAGTCACTTATATCAAAATATAACGACGATTGAAGAGAAGTGTCTTATAAGAACTTTATTCGCAAGCTTTCGGAAGCTTTCGAAGAGTTTAATTTAGTCAAAAGTCACTTATCTTGTTAAAATAGAAGTTAAAACTAGACACCATCTATTGACCGTGGTCGCAAACTAGCGGCCTCAGGATGGTGACAAAGCCAACAACACATGCTCTGGAAACTTTCGTAAAATATATCATATATATATATATGTTATATTAAAATATTGTTTTGTTTAAAAATATATTTCATAGATACAAATATTGTTAAATCGACCGCCAGAGGTCAGGCTTGCCCTATAAAAACTCGTTGTTGTTGTATCCCGTTGGCCGGCTCAAAACCTTTGTACATTATGTAAATAATATTTTGTTTTCCTTGTTCTACTCGCTTTAAGCCAGGCAGTACTTTAATCAAATTATATTTTTCATATACACTGGTGTCCAAAAAATAAGAAACCTTTGTTTTTTAATGATATGTTTTAAAATATACAACGCTAAGAGCTAAAAAGTAATTTAATTAGGTATTTTAAGTCGTAGAATTTATTTATCGCAACCATTCGATTTGGTAAAATTGAAAATATGCAAATTTTTGCTTGTCTTTATAAGTGTGCTATTTAGCGTGTCGTTTACCACATCTAAGAATTGTCCAATTGTAATTTTATTTAATCCTTAGTTAATTATGAGTTTACGAAAAATTTTACCAGATGATTTAAAATGGAGAGCTGTTGGAAGAATGGAGGCAGGGCAATCACAAGTTGAAGTAACAAAATGGCTAAATGTGAATAAATCTGTGGTCAGCAAAATATGGAAACAGTTCATTGAGACAGGAACCATCAAAAGAAAAGAAGGTTCTGGTAGAAAAATAAAAACAGCTACCTCTGAAGACCGTTATCTGGTCGTAACTTCCAAGCGCCATAGGGAGATGACAGCTATTCAACTCTCTAATGAACTCTCAAGTGCTACTGGAACGAGAATTTCAAGACAAACTGTTTACCGAAGGCTTCACGAAGGTGCTCTTTATGCAAGACGACCAATGGTCTGTATCCCTTTAACCTCTGCTCACAGGAGAGCCCGCTTGAATTGGTGCTTTGAACATCACGCCTGGACTCATGATCAGTGGGCCAATGTTCTCTTCAGTGACGAGTCAAGATTTAGTTTAAACACAGATTCTCGACGAGTTTTCAATTGGAAGAAGCCTGGAACCCGCTATCATCCCAGTAACATCAGGGAAATAGACAGTTTTAGAGGGGGCAGTCTCTTAGTCTGGGCTGGCATCAGTTCTAGCAGACGCACACCCCTCCACATTTTTTCTGGGGGTACTTTAACTGCCCAAAGGTACAGGGACGAGATCCTTGAGCCCTATCGACCTATAGAGCCCTATAGACCTTATAGAGATCAAATTGGTCACAATTTAATTTTTATGGACGATAATGCTTGTCCGCATAGGGCTAGGCTAGTCAATGAATATCTCCAGAGTGAGAATATTCGAAGGATGGATTGGCCAGCCATATCTCCGGACCTGAATCCAATAGAGCATGTGTGGGATGCACTAGGAAGGCGTATTGGAGCTCGTCACCCTTCTCCCAGATCCCTCGTTGAGCTAAGAACTGCTCTATTGGAGGAGTGGGGTTTACTACCCCTGGACCTCCTCCAAAGCCTGGTAAACAGTATGAGGGCTCGCTGTGAGACCTTGATAGCTGTTAGAGGTGATCATACTCCCTATTGATATCTTATTTCTTTAAGATCGGGAACCTTAGCTTCGGGTATGTTGGTAATAATTTGCATATTTAATAATTTCAAATATTTTTTTATTATTTTCATATAGCTAGTCAAATTCTCCATAGTTTAAACTATTTGTATACTAAATTTTATAATTGTTAATAAATTAACTTTTTAGAAATTTCAATATTGGTTAAGTTTCTTATTTTTTGGACACCAGTGTATATTCGTTAGCTCAATTAAAACAATCTCTGATCAAAACTATTTTTGTTGTTATACTTTCAAGATTTTAACCACGACTGCATTACCATAATCCTCAACATGATCTAAATTCAAGCAGAAAATCTATTCATTTTTATATAAAATATATATGTATAAAATATTTTGATGCCACAACACATAGAATATCGCTTATATTATTTTAGGAATACTTCTCTAGCATCTTCTTAGCCATATACACCCATGAACAAAACTTAAGGAAGTTGAACCGCATGTATATCGGGATTCAGACAAAAACTCTGAAAGATATTTGATACATAGTGACCTTTATTAAAGACACACGAGATAACCGAGTATGAACAAATTTTTCTCTGTCTCGTTAATAAAAAACCATAACTGGGAAAATTAAATACTTTCTATTTCTTCAGGTTTTGTCCATGAGTGTATTACGCCAGTTTATAGAGATGTTCTAGAATTCCATGAAGAAGGGCGATCAGCTATATGTCCAAATAACTAAAGTTGATCATTTATATTTATTGAAAATAATATTGTTTCATCAATCATTCTTAATGCCTCTATATTCTTTTTCAACAAACTCACAACTCGTAAGAGATTTTTACAAAAATATATATATATTTGATCCTGGATGAACTTCTCATTTTTAAAG